GAAGGAAGGAAGGAAGGAAGGAAGGAAGGAAGGAAGGAAGGAAGGAATAATCCAATTGAAGGAGTTCCTTCACAAGTGTGAGAGTCTGTAGGCCATCGGAGAGGAGATGATTGTACCACCAAAAAAACAAAACAAAAAACAAAAAACAACACCCCAAATAAACACCAGACATCCATGCACACACAACCTTGATTACCTTTCTAATAAATAAGCGCAAAATCCCAAGATTCTACCCACACAAATCTATCTCCTCCTTTGAAAGAAATTCTGAATACCAATTCTCTTCCATTAGATTGAATAACAGCTGGTAGGGAAACCTGAAGGAGACAGTCTCTGCCCAGCACTGGTACCGTCAATTCTGATTATCAATGGCTGGTAGGAAAAACATGCAGGAGAGGTGGACAGGAGGGTTTTAAATATTACTTGGAGACGCTGGGATTAAAACCGGGACCTTCTATACGTAAGTAGATGGGGTCTGAAGTGACCCAGGTTAGAGGGAAATGTTGCAGAAGTATCCCTTTGATGTAACTGTTGTAAGAGAGAATTAAATTAGGGAGGAAAAAACCCTGATTTGTAGCTTTCCCCCCCGAGACTCCTTTTTGCATCTGTTTTAGGGCCAAGCCTCCACTCTAGAACATGGGAATTAAAAACAGATTTAAAATGCCTCTTAGTTAACAGTGACTGTACGTCCTTTATTATAAAGGGCAGTCCTTTACTTCAGAAAGCTGTCCTTTAGATTTATTTATTTTTCAAAAACCCACTTTTGTCCTTTATTTGGGTCATTTCATTCTTACTGTACAAATGGTATCACTTAATGCAGTCTTTCACATTCATGTGAAAAATATGAAAATTGAATTGTCTTTTCTAAATACATTTACATAAAGTGTTTGATTTTAGATATTTTTATTAGAATATGTGTTTTTGTAAAGTTTTTCTTGGTTTTGCTCTTGAATTTTCCTTTGGAAAACAAAGTTATAAACGTAAGTTTACATAAAGTGTTTGATTTTAGATATTTTTATTAGAATATGTGTTTTTGTAAAGTTTTTCTTGGTTTTGCTCTTGAATTTTCCTTTGGAAAACAAAGTTATAAACGTAAGTTTACATAAAGTGTTTGATTTTAGATATTTTTATTAGAATATGTGTTTTTGTAAAGTTTTTCTTGGTTTTGCTCTTGAATTTTCCTTTGGAAAACAAAGTTATAAACGTAAGCAATTAAATTTTTTTATCCTTATGAACCTCTTTCAGATTCGCCCCTTTTTCAGGTTTGCCCTTTATTTTTTCCAAGAAAATATAGATCAAGAGTACATTTCCCTCATCACTGATAAAACAGAGGCCCAATTTATACTTACACTAAGTCATGTTGTATTTTATTAAGTTTTGGTTTAGTGTGAGCCCATTTATGACTGAGTATTGTGTGGAAACCAAGCCATTATATCTGGCTTAGCTGTGTATGTGTGAACTCAGCCACAGACTGGGCGGGCGGTGGGGAGGGAATAGAAATGGAAGAAAAGGGTTCCATATTTGAGGACAATACTTTTCAAAAGACTTGATTCTGGACATCTCTTTTTAAAAAATGAAGCACCAACCAGAGAAGCATTACTTTGGCAGATGGGGAAGACTGGTTCTAAATGGATATCTAGACATTGTTGAGGGTGCACTGATAGATATGCCCTGAGTGTTGAAGGCCTTTAATGAAATGGAACTGAAGCCAGCTATATGCTGCTTTTCAGCCTACCAGGTGAGGTAGGCTCCCTAATTTGAAATTCAAGCATTAAACTGAAAAATGGAAGCTGATCAGAGAAAAATTAAGTGATTTGGCAGGAGTTTGTTAGATGAATATTTCTTGACCCAGTT